AACCTGGGAATTTATGACATCTCTTTTCAACACACATGAACCCCCGCATAAACCCTTTTCCCATGAGGTTACCTCTAGTCATAACAACACATTTACATTTTTTTAGTACCCTTGACCATACAGCAAAACAGTAATAAACTGATTGGCAGGCATCACAATCTTACCACCGCTCTTGTCACCCCATGTACAGGCGTCTGTCATGACATGTGTTAGCAAAACATACTGCAAGGCGAACAGAAGCAGGCAATATCCTTCATATTCCCACTCGGCATGAAAATAACGAGAGGAAGGAAGGAAGGAAGGAAAAGAAGAAAACGCTCACCCATAATCAACCCCCCAGCCCTCGCCCAATACTCCGACGGCTCCTCAACCCACAGATTACAATCCTTCTGCCCAATCAGGCTCGACCTCCCGCTGGGACTGGAGCAGACAGATTTCGAGCAGAAGGGAATCGGGATGTGGACGAGTTCCTGACCGGCCGCGGCCATGGTGTTGACTAGATAAACGGCGTCGGCGACGGGCATGCGCTTGGAGTTGTCGGTTTCGCAGGTTGCGCCTGCCCTCTTCGCCAGCTCCGTTGCTTTTTCACCAGTGCCAGTGGTGGTGCCGTTGATGCTCTGGTAGTAAGCTTTGAGGGCTTGCTCCGGTGTGAGGGCGACGACGTTGGGGTTGAGGATGTCGTCTACCCATTGGGAGAAGCTGAAGGGCTTGGTTGCTACTTCTTCTGTGGAGGTGGTGATGGAAGTGACGGTGGAGGCTGGGGCTGGGGCTGGGGATGGGGCGGCGACGGTGAGGGTCGCGAGGATGGCGATGGTGGTGAGCTTGAGGGAGAGCATGTTGGTGGTTTGAGATGGGAGGGTCGGTACGTGAAGGTGAAGTGATGACGGTGATGTGATGGACAGAACAGAGGAGAGCTTCCTCTTTCTTTCAAAGACCTTTTACACTATATATGTATATGTACCTTACCATTGTCGTCGCCTTTGCTCTGTCTACCTACCTCGTTCCTTTTGGTGGTTTGTGACTGTGTAGACAGCAAGTCAGAGGAGCCTCATGAAGTTGTTGGTTGTTGGTTTGGCTTGGTGTTGTGGAGTGTGGTGGTATTGTGCAAATAGCCGGAGGCGCAGTGTGGTCTGAGTGCTACAGTAGTGTACCTGCAGAAGCCCACGAACCCTCAGGGTCCAAGCTACCGACCCTAGGTACATGTACGTCGCCTGAACAAGGCGAAAAAAAAAAAAAAGAAGAAATATAAATCCCCACTTGGGAATTTATGTCCTGTTTCTTCAACGATCTTTCGTTCTCCGGGTTCGTTTACGTCTCTTAGGATACTATGCTGACAAGATGGAATTGATGACTGATTAACGTCCGTCGGCGCGGGCCGTTCCCGCTAAAACGTGCCCCTGCGTTAATTCGGGGTGGGTGGTGCACAAGCGCCATGTAGCGAACATTTGGTGCGTGCGCTATTGGCGGACGCTGGCGGGGCACCGGAAACCTCCGAGTGGTTGATCAGAATAGTTGATGGAACTTGTCTGCGGTCTACGAAGCATGAGTGGTCAGAGAACGAAAGTCGCCGGCTTGGGGTCGTTGTTGACTCCCACTTGACAAGCCGGTTAACCGATTATGGAGTTGAAGAATTGCGATCCGGGGGCTCGGGAGAGCTCTGGACAGGAAGGAGAGAATGTAAAAAGGCGGCATGCTAGTCACGGATTGAAGGGGAAGCGGAAGTGGTTGAAAAGTTTTCACGGAGTATACTCAAGTCAGTAAAAGGGACAACCAAGCAAGATACACTGCCCCTTTTTCCAAGTAAACATGCGAGATCCGCAAAAGATGGAGCGCCAAAAAATGCAAAAAGAATGCGCCAGCCGCGAATCGAACGCGGGGCCCATCGATGGCAACGATGGATTTTACCACTAAACCACTGGCGCGATTAAGTGTCAATTGGTAAGTTGGCTCCTATCTTGGCTCTATATTCACAACAATGCAAATAAGCTGCAACAGTTCAAAAGTCTGTTTCAACACTTAACTTGAACCCGATGCCGCGCAATGCCGTGATTCCATTCCAAATCGCGTGAAAATAACCTTTTAGTGTTTGTAACTTGAACGAACATCGTTACTAACAAGAACAACACTCCATGTTCTTATCTTGGGCATTTGTGGTGGGCATTATCGCGGAGTGTCCCCGCAGTCTTGTCCAGTCCATCCCCGACTGAAAATTGAAATTGTCCACGGGCCACTGTGGACTGCGCTTTGACCCAATTACCAGTGCATGAGGAGAGAATGGGTTTTTTTGCGAATAGTTCTACGTGTATATGATGATCCAGGATCCATCGTCGTCATCCATACCTATGCCGGGCAAAACCTTAGACATTGTCCTGTTGTGATAGTTTACGCAAAGAAAAGGCTCACTGTGATACAACTTAAAGAGAATGTGTGACATTGCAAAGCGAGCGTCAGATATGGATTTCTGACTCAGGTTTCTCCATTGTTGCACTACATTTTGGCAGACGGATTGGTATCTCCATGTGCCTGTATGTATGGCTTCGGTCAGCACCGGAGTTTTGGTCCCAGTACCGTGTAAGGTTCTCGTGCAGCCCAGCACTGACCGGAGTTTTGGTCCCAGTACCGTGCAAGGCTCTCGTGCAGCCCAGCACTGGCCGGAGTTTTGGTGATATGCTCTAGGTGGTGTAAACTTTCATATTCCCTGTGATCTCGTGCTCTAGGGGCACAAACCTCCCAATGCGCTCGAACGCCTTCACGATGGATGCCTAGTTGCCCGTATCCAAAGAGCAAGACAAGTCCGAGTCCCCAAGAAGCACCAGTTCGTCCTCAACCGCCTCTCTCATGTTCTCTACACACCACGATACCTATAACGTATCCCCCCTCTACGAGATCAGCAGCCAAACTGATTACTCCCGTCAAGAAGAACCATGGCAGAAGAAGTTGATTGGGAAAACCCCGGCCGTAACCCTCTCGTTACCGCCAATCTCACTCTCCAGAGCTTTGAAGAATACATTGGACCGAACTGTACGGACGACTGCTCCGTTGCAGCTACCAAGTTCCTCGGCTATCTCCGGGGCACTCAAGACATTCTGAATCAGACGCACGGTGAGAAGTGGGAGGAAGACTGGGACATACCCATCTATCAACTTGACAACTTTATTTGGTATTGTACCGACGAGAATTTCCCCAATTACACCCTGGGCCAGGCCGCCGACTGGTTCACCAACAACGCGAATGAACGCTCTCGTCTGGATCATCTGGTCAACCATACCATCAATGCGTGCCCCACGGAGTTCTGCAAGTCGCTGATATGGGAAGGAAATCCGGACGTTTCTGGCATCGGGGTGAGTAAAACTAAATAAAGCGTCCTTGTTTTCTGCCACGGTAGCAACCTGAAGCCTCCATCTTACACGGAAAATTCTGCAGGTAAATGTTGCGTTCGTGGTCCAAACCGTTCTCGCCAGTCTGTTTCTGCTCTTCTACATCGGCTTTTACATCACAGATGTAGTGCATTTAAACTCAGAACAAGCCTACCCTGAGCAAGGCAACCGCAGCCCCGCGGACTCTCAACATGATACCCCTCAGCAACATGAACAAACCACCGCCCATAAACCAACCAAGCTACTAGACCCCAACGCCGTCTTTGCGCTGATCCTCTTTTGGGGCGGCTCGTTGCTGGTCATCCGGATCCTAACCCCCAAGATGACCGATCAGGGGAAGCACACGGTCCTGACGCTGTATCTGGTTTTGACGGGGATCTTCGGCGGGTTCCTGGTCCTCACTAGCCTGATTCTTGTCTGGCTTTCTCTTGGGTTCTTCATGTACCTCCGCCAAAGAGTGGCGGGACTGTCGGGGCCCTCGTACAAGGAGAATGAATGGGGCTTTAGTCAGGTCGCGGCTGTTGTTGCATGGGTGCCCTTTCTGGGGCAGTTTTCTGTGATAGTCATCTGTTAAGTGCCCTCTATCGAAGCTAGAACCCTCTCCGGGCATCTGCTGAGCCGCTTGTGTCTTTGCTAACTATATACCGCCTCTCCAGGTGGACTCGCCAGACTCTTCTTTGTCGACCGGGCCAAAGAGCTGTTCAAACCCGTGCCCAAAGATCAGAGGGGGACAGCACGACTTCTGGCCCAGGCCCTCCACAACAAAAGACATAATCGGGAACAGCAGCATGGAAGCATGCCGGCGGAAGCGGTGCCACTGTCGTCAATCCAGAGCACCACCCATGACGAAGAAGCTGTTGGGACGACGTCGGCTGGGACTGGGAGCCATGTACAATGATACTGTAGGCACCACAGTCCGCCCTGTCGACGCGGAACCCAGTGGTGCGATGGAGTTTTCCAGACCAAGATCGATCGAGCAGAAAGTAAAGCGATAAATTTAAATCGGGTTGAGGCGATGGATGCTGCGTCGTTTTGCCGTCTTCACTCTCACTCTTGGACTGATGAGTGGAAACGCTGGGATAAAGGATGACTCCGCCATTGAGGGCGATGAATCTAGCTGAGCTAAGAGAGAAAAGAGGGTCGGTAAAACAGAGAAGGCGGAGCATGGGAATGATTGGTAAATGGTAGGACGATGTCTGAGGCTTTGCACGAGGCATATGGATGACAACGCTAGATCCTGGACAGACGCATGTACATAGAGATTCCTGCAAAAGCGTTCTCTTATCATGCACTTTCAGCCGGCTCGATTGACCCGAAGCGCTGTGTATCCAGTCATATATACTTGAGGTACTGGATGGGGGAGTGACGATGCAGGGGGTGAGGGAAACGATTTAGGAACTGCTACTTTTTGAAAGCCGGGGGGAAAAGCTTCGGTGCAGGAAGTCAAGAACGGGGTTACATGAGCGCCGGGTTAGGGTTACGTATGCTCCCAAAAAAAATTCACCTGGTGCCCACCCGTCCAGCGAAGAGATGATGGAACTTCCCAAACCACAAAAAAAGTCACAACTCCATAGCATCATCAGAAACAGCCAAAAAGAAAAGATCACAAGCTTCACCAGGCTTTGCCCACAGCCAGAATCGAACTGACGACCTCATCATGTATTGTCGGTACTAGTGATGCGCTCTACCACTGAGCCATGCGGGCTTTGATGGTTATCCTGGCTTGGAAATTGGTCTTTTAACCCCGGGTGGAGAATGAGCGATAAAAGACCAATTTCCAAGCCAGGATAACCATCAAAGCCCGCATGAAGTCACACTTGTGACAGGTTCCTTCTCCACGTCTGATCCATGACCATGATGCGGGCCGACGGTTGGGGATTGAGCCAACAGGTGATGCGTGTACCTCTCGCTCTCCGGGGCAGGGTTGAACCACTTCTGGTATTTGGTGTCTTTCAATACTGAGCCTAGACAGATCAGTTAACAAAGGGCCATATATGATCGACTGGTTGACAAAACTCACGAAAGATAACCATGCCGATCTGGGCTACCAGTGGACCCCATGCGACGATAGCGACGATTTGACCAAAGCCCCATTCGTTCTCAGCGTATGACGGGCCCGCGAGACTCTCGACCTTGGTTCGAAGGTGGAAGAAAAAGCCGAGAGCGATCCAAACCAAGGCAAACGAGCAAATGACAAGAAGGCCGCCTAGAATCCCGGTGATGATTTTGTACAATTTCCAGTTAGTGATTTTGTTTCTCCGGTACATGTATGAACGAGAACGCGCCGCCCCAGAGAACAAAGAGTGCCAGGGTCCCGTAAGGAGTATACGTGACGAAGTTTTGTACGTAGGTTGTTGATTGTGCGGGGACCAAGGCCTGGTCCAGGTGCTCCCAATCTGGTACGTTCTTGAGGTCAAATCTGGTTTCTAGGCAGGCACTTTCGAGGGTCGTCTTGTCATCGGATTTCACCTCTTTGAGAAAGGTCATACTGACGCCAACCACGAGGCCCAACAGCACAGATACGCCCGAAAAAGTGAGGACCGGGTATCGATATCGTCCAGGAAACCAGGGCCACAGACATACAAGGACGGCTACGGAGAGGACGGTACCGAGATATCCGAAGTAGCCCGAGTAAACGTGGCCAAGCGAATGGTAGATAACGTTGAAGCAAAGGGTGCCTACAGCGAGGGTTACGGCAAAGACGTAACATGTTGACCAGAAGACTTGGAGGCAATCATCGGCTGCTTTGCGCCACAACGAAGTTACCTTCTGGTTGGCCTGTGCCGGGTTCTTTCGAATGTGATGTGTCTCGGCTATGTAAAAGTCGACATAGATGAGTAAGAAGACGGCGGTAAGGGCTGCTTGGATGAAAAAGGCAATGTTGACCTGAGGTTCACATGTGAGAAGACATATCAGGAAGGGTCGGGGGTGAATGATGGAAGTGTGGAGCATACCCCAATGCCGGATATATCAGGATTGCCTTCCCACGTTAGGCCGTTGCAAAACTCATTGAAGCATCGAAAAGCGATACCGAGATACATCCAGCCAATGTCGTTTTCTGCGTTCAGGGTGCGATAGAAGTACCAATGATGATCTGGCCATTGGAAACGTGGTCTAGAAGCCCGGGCGCGGTACAGCTTCTCACGAGAGTGCTGAATTTTGAAATGGGCACATCGCCCTCGTCCTTCAAATCAAAGCTCCCTTCGAGATAGCCAAGAAAATCGGCAGCCGGAGCGCAATGGTCTGTGCAGTTGTCCGGGATGTTGATGGCAATATCCAAAAAGGTCAAGTTGGCAAGGACCTCCGGCAGGTGGACTACCCGTGCCACGCCCCCACTAAAGTGGGTGCTCACCAGTAATACGGCCACACCAGTAATACGGCCACGCAGATGCGACACAACAGAAATCTAGCATTTTTATGAGGCTATTCAGAAACGGCTTCGAGAACGACTGGTCTTATCCCATATTTCCTGTATCCCGGTTTGAGTACTTCGAAAGGCAGTAACCTGCCTGCTTTCCGCCATTTGTTGGAAAGTCTGCCGGCTTCAACACCTGCTTTTTTCGCCTTGTTTCGAAGCTGTTGCTTCGCTTTTTCAACCTTCTTGTAGGCAGCCTTCATGTCATCATCTGCTCGCTTAAGTACCATAGCTCGGCCATCAGAAACCTTTAGTACACCGCCGGCTTGTATGGGCCGGTTTTTTAAAGCTCTACGTCGTCGGTTTATTTCCTCAGCGTACTTGGTCTTGCCCAGATCACGTTTTACTTGCACCAGCTCAGCGGCAGCGACTTCACCACCCTTAACGTAACTCAACACCATCTTCTTGAAGGATGGTGATAAATCCTTGGTTTCAAGAGCTTCAGTAAGCTGGCCAGCCGCTTTGTTTATCTGACGAAGGTTGTTTGGGGTCTTGAATGGTGTTGAAGGTGTTGAACGGTCGTCTGGTAGTGGGGTTGGAGTGCGGCGGTCAACCCGCTCACGCAAGGGAGCCAGTACTGCATGGGGGTGGTATGGCCATATGCCTGTCTTCTTGAATGCTGATTTTATGGTTGAGTATTTGAATGCCTTCTTTCTAACCTCCTCGATGATGGATAAAAACTCCAGTTTGGTGATATCTGCGCAGCCATCACGTACGAGTACGTCGAGTGCTTTGGCATGGTAGTGCTTGAGAGGTTGAAAGACGACCACATCTAACGGTTGGAGAAGATGGGTGAGATGGGGGGGGAGACCAAAGCAAACAATGCCATTATCGTCACAGTATTGCAAAAACTCCCTGGTATACGTTAGCCATGGCCATCAAAACCGGCTTGGAATCTTACCTCGTATGGTGTGAGCCGTGACCGTCAAGTATCAACAGCCTCTTCTTACCCTTCTGGGACTTTCTTGAATACTCATCCCAATGCTTTAGCCATTCAAACGACAGCTGGTCATTTGAATACCCGGTAGCAGCAGTGGCGATGCGTGTATGAGGGTCCAACTCTTTAACCTGGTACCAGTTTGACATGTGCAATTGGCCGGTCATGATAATAAAGGCAGGGCAGTACTCCCCAGCGGCGGAGATGGCTTCGATACACGTTGCTGACTCTCGGTTTTCTGGGATCGCGAAATAATGGGTTCGTTTTCTCTTAGTAACAACGACTTGGTCTTTACCCATACCGATGCGGAAACCAGTCTCATCCATATTCCAAATATCGTACGCTGTGAAGCCTTCTTCTGAAATAACGGTCCAGAACTTCTCGAAGTATACCGCTACCTGTTATGATAATTGTTAGCGAAGGTTTATGTGAATAACATTTGTAAGGCGGACTTAACTTATCCACGTCTTCGTTCTCTTTCCTAGTGCTGTCCATTTTCTTCTGTCGTACTTTGGAGTATTCGTGGCGTTTGATGAACCGCGACGCCCAGTTAATACCAACGTGGGGCAGCTCCTCGTCATCGTTGTCATCTTCGACCTTGCTTTGAAGTAGTAGATCTGCAGCTTCTTTGATATACGACGGTCGTACGGCGAGGTTGATTCTATCGAGACGGTCGATGTAGTTGCACAGAGCCTTCTCCTCAGCAGGGGAGAGCTTGGTCTTCTTGGAGGGTGTGCCTTTCTTGGGAGGGATGCCCTTAATACGGTTGCGGAGTCGCTTGCGGGGCACATCGTAAATCTTGCACAATGTAGTGACAGGAACCCCTGGATTTTCGTGATAAAAATCGACGGCTCGTTGAATGCGACCTTCCATTTCAACTGATGATACTTTTAGATTGATGCGACGTGATGTTGTTGTGTTGTGATGCGATATTGTAATCGTGGTCGTGATGTGCTAAGAAGAGGGATTCTGAGATGCTCGAAATTATCTGCGTGGCCGTATTACTGGTGTGGCCGTATTACTGGTGAGCACCCACTTTAGTGGGGGCGTGGCACGGGTAGGGAGTTGAACTCTGGATCCGTATAGAAATCCATGGTTGATGAGGGAGGGGGGCCTTTTGAGTTGCAGAACACAAGAGAAGCAGGCGGGGAGAGAGCAGCTGGCGGACATGATCTTATAGACTGCCCATGGCCAGTCTGTCTATCATCGTGGCCACCCTGCAGCAGCATTCCGAACTCATCATCCTCTTGCTGAAGAACGATAGGTATGGTGGCGCCATGTTACACGCAAGTCCATCCCGGCCCCCACGAGAACTCTGGCCGCAGTCAGCACCGTATGGGGTTGCGATTTCTGTGTCTGCTATTGGAGGGTGCATCGGTACGTGATCAGGGATACAGCAATGTATCTAGCCGACGTAGGTGATATATCAGGCGAGTTTCAAAGGCAGCCATGTCGTCGATTGTGATGAGGAGCGCTTGCCAAACAACGTCGACCCGGTTGCTTGATGATTGAAGTGGATGCCTGACGCGGAGAAGGAATGAGTTCGAATTGCGCAGGACAGGTACCTCTCCTGAGGCCGTGAGGACTGATCATGGGCTCATGGTTCCTGTCGTTCTTGTCTGAGGCTGGAACCATGGTGGCGGACGTCGAAGGATCGCGGACCAACAGTCGCATCAATAATAGCCTACCGGCTGCTGTGGGCGGGACATGGTGGTGTTGGCAAGGCTGTGCACGAGAACGGAAGAGGGACAGAGGATGGAGAAGACGGAAGCAAGGAGAGGACAAAAAGGTCACTGTCGGGATGAAAGATGAAAGGCGGGGGAAGTCTGGACTCTGGATGGGAATAGAGGAAATTGCCTGCCGGGATTAGATACCTTACTGTTTCGACATCGTTCGTAGCCGGCAGGCAGATTCCGCTGGCAATCAGTGCGACAGGCTGCCTGCCGGACGCAGTTGTTCAGGCGCTGTACTTGGGTCAGGTACTGGCAGGGAACAGGCCCGGAACTGAGTCAAAAGCAAAAAGTCACAATTCCTCAGTGCGGTGCGCCGTGCCCCTCCAACCCGATCCCCCTCCAC